TTCAATGAATATTCAATGAATTATTTGGTGAATAAATTAAATATTCGAATATTCAATTTGGTAAAAAAAATCTTATTCGAATATTCGAATATTCAGTGAATATTCAAATATAGTATTCATCGGATCAGACCTCTATACTGGGGAAGATATTTTGGGAAGAGAATTAGATTATGTGCGTGTGCTACAATCGATCTTATTTATGTCATTTGACTTTACAAACGCACAAACGCGTCCACAATATGCCAACAGGTGGATTACCGGAAGAAACTCTAAAGAAAGTGCAATATCGGGGTAAGTATTTATTGTTCTTCACTATATTAAATGATAATAAATACTCTAACCTGTAACCGTATATCAGAATATTGGGAGCAACCACATTCCAAGTGGGAAATACAGATACGTGGGATCACTAGGCACTGAATTAAAAGTTTTGATTCAGAACTTAAGACCAGAAACAAGAGCAGGCAAAAGGCATTAGCAACGTGATTTGAGGGTCAGTATTTTTATGAAACAGCAAATGTGCTACACCCTGTGCTGCTGGTATGGGGAAGAAGAGCGCTCAGTCTTATGTACACAATGACATGCATACTTTGCTGTGTGCTACGCCCTAAGCTGCTGGTTAAGGAAAGAAGAGTGTCTGGTTTTTACATCACTGCAACGTGCATATTTTGCTTTTTCATGGGAGTCGTACCCAGCGACCGCTGGTCGAGTTGAGGTCAATTTTGGGCCAAGATGAGAAGCGAGTCACAATCTAGTATATACTCATTGTGACTTGTGCTGTTCCCCGCTGGCTTAGCAATTTTTTTTGCTAATCTTTTTTTACCATTTATTTCGTTTATTAATATTACAGAAAAATGGGAAACACCTTGAAGATCCACCTGCTTACGATATGATACAATAACACAACATCGAAGACGGGATGTCTAATTCACAAACACATCCAACCGTTGAGGAACTAATATTTGATACACATATTGCTACATTACTTCTACAATATAGAAGAGTTTTGAAGAAATGAGTAATCATCACGTAGAACAAGAATCACAACGAGGCCGACACTTATCTAATATGCTTAAGTGGTCTGTTGTGGACCATTCTCTGTTTAATGGATTCAAGTTTGTTGTCAGCTTACTAAGACCAGCTATTAATATATCATTGTTGGAACCTATCCTTATGGAGAGCCAGAATAAACCAAATCATCACGTAGTCACGATTTTACGCAATTTGATTACTAAAGAAATTGTAGATGATATAAGCTCTGGCTTTAAAAGATGGCTAGAAAGATTACGGGAAGTTTGTATAAAGGAATACTACATAATTGATACAATAACGGCATTAACCGCTATCACTTCAGTTATTTTTTTACTCACCTACACCCTGCCGAGGTTCAGGAAGTAAACCATCAGAAAACTATATAAAATCACAAATGTGGGCCAAAATCTTTTCAGATATATTTCTCATTGATTCAGATGATATTGATGTGAATTGGGAATATCATCACCAAATCCTGGGTAACGGTGGAAGCGGATCTGCTAGATCTGATTTTGCTGCTGTTGTTTTCAATGACATCGATCAACAGTTTCCCTTTTTTATAGCTGAATTTGAGACTGACGGATTTTTAGTACATAAGGATGAAATGGTCGTAGCGGCAGAAGCTGCATTCAAATATAATCGTATTCTTACAGCTGCCTACTATTTATCGGAAGACGAAGTAAATTCATCTCACCTGCATATTGGCCTTATAAATAGAACAACCATTCATCTGGGTTTGATCTATGATGAAGAAAAAAAATCTTTGATTTATGCCTACGAAATAAACAATGCCACTTTCAAACTCTACACTGGTAATCAAGAGGCCGATATTGCAAGTGCACTGAAGTTAGTGGTATACTTGAGAACAAATGTATATCAGGATGGAATATCACTTAAAGCATTACTTAACAAGAAAAAATATATGCGCAATGGAACTTTATTAGCAGCTTTGCCCCGTCTTCCGAAGAGAGCCGTCAAGTCACGTCCAAAAAGTGATACAGAATTCACTCCTCAGGCGAGAAGAATTATATATATCGATGTTGGTTTGAATAATGATAATATGGGATTTGTCGACCAAATTTGTGTTTCAATCATATTTGTATATTTTGATCTATCATCAATAACTCGCGTTCTAGTGATTCAATCTTGGTGATTTTTATACTATTCAAATCCTCTCCGCGAGAGGATTGAATGGTATCAAAAGCATCAAGATCGAATCATTAGAACGCGAGTTATCGATGATAGATCAAAATATACAAATTTGATTGAAACACAAATTTGGTCGACAAATCCCATATTAGAAATGTTTATAAAATAGTAAAGTTTTTATTATGTTAGAAATATTTCATTCTTCTATTTCGAATAGGTAACAGTCTTATTCAATAGCTATCAGCTTACCTTTATCATTACACAGTCTCAAATGAATCTAATCTTAATTTTTATTATGATAACCAATATTTGTATATTTATTATTCGTAGCAATTGGAAGATTTTAAAAAGTATCAATTTTTCTATCATTTTATTTAATTTTAGTTTATGGATACTTGTCGTCTCTATCATCTTCATTATCAGTGTTAATACATACCATATTCTTCTGTCAACCTTCAATATTAATGAGTTATCGATCATCGGGCAAGCACTGATGTACACAAATACTGCATACACATAAATAGTAGCACCTTGTGTTCGATATGCTGTGTTTATAAAGTCGATTTACTAATCGTCTAAACAAAAGCCCTGAAAGAATTTTAACTCAATGGAATATTCACAATTAACAACTCCATTCAATGATATTGTTTTACCGACTGCATGGGATATTGAAAATAATTCATCATCTATTAACATAGATTCAAGTGGACTGAAAGTGAATTATACTGGTAAGATAAAAATGAGAAAAGAGAAAAACATTAGATTGAATTAACGTCTCAATTAATGAGTGTTAATTGTTTGTGGTTTAACTAAAGAATAATACATAGCTGTTAATTTTATGTTAATTTTATTTTTTAAAAAAAAAACTTTTCTGAAGATTCTGATGATAATAAAGCTGTTATAATTCGAGCAAATCACCCTATTCCTTCACAGTGTGGGTTATTTTACTTTGAAATTAAAATTATGAATAAAGGAAAAAATGGGTATGTTAATTATTTTCTGATAAACACACCTGCATTTTATATATATATATATATATATATATATATAATTTTTTATTCTATTCCTCGACAGAATGATTGGGGTCGGATATTGTACAAAGCAAAATGATAAATAGATAGACAATTCAATTATAAAAAGAGATTATATAGACAGCATGCTCATGCCTGGTAAAGAAAATTTTTATATCGTTTCTTATTATTATATATTAAAATCAATATCACTATATCTTTTAGGACAAGAGTCTAAGGGAAGTGAATTATGGGGCTGTGGTTACCACGGTGATGATGGATATTCATTTTATTCTGGAGGTGGCGAACCGTATGGACCAACATATACTACTGGTGATATTATTGGGTGTTATTTAAATTTCATAAACAAGATGGTATTTTATACTAAAAATGGAATTAATTTGGGTAATTAACACTTAGGAAGTTTTATATTTTCAAAAGTAGATTGAGTAGAAATTTAACATTTACAATATATTTTAAGGAATTGCGTGCAATCTGCCTAACAATTGGAATGGCATTCTATATCCTTGTGTTGGATTTAGATCACAAGGAGGGTCTGTAGAAGTGAATTTCGGTCATGAAACATTCAAATATTCTGGTAAATTTGTCACAAAGGGTTTAATCATTTTTGGCTTATTTAAAATTTAACCTTGTCTATATGTCCATTTCTAATTTACGGCAATGACTAATGAAGACATCGGTAAAAAATTAAATAATGCATTAGCATTAGAATATCAAGAAAAAATTTATTACATTATGGGTGGATATGAAAATATGTTGGTTAATTTAACAAGCGAATTAACAAAATCGTTAGAAAAAAAGCAAAACAATGTATTTGAATTAAATTATCGAGGAAAAATAAATTTTATTATGGGTGAATATGATAAAGCATTGGAAGATTTAACTAGATTGTTAGAAATTGAACCAGATAATATAGCAGCATTAAAATATCGAAGAGAAATTAATTATATTATGAAAAAGTATAATGAATCGATTGCTGACTTGGAGAAATTGCTAAAAATTAAACCTGAAGATACATGGGCGGCGGAAGCCCATAAATTAGTTGAAGAATTGTAAGCACAATGCGTGTTTGTAAATTTTAATTCCTTAAAAAATTAAGGTTAAATCAATAACTCAACCACACATGTCAACACAATAGTCTGTAAGTTTTTTAATTGAATGTTTTACAGTAAATTACGATAGATATCAACGATAATGCCAATACAAACTAACATAACTTTGACTACATACTGTGTGTCACCGTAATAGTCGGTAAGTTTTTAACTGAATTTTTTACAGTAAATTAAACGATAATGCCAATACAAAAATAACATAACTTTAACTACATGCTGTGTATCACCGCAATAGTCGGTACGTTTTTAATTGAATTTTTTACAGTAAATTACGATAGACATCAACAATAATGTCAATACAACCTAAAATACGTAACTAACTACATACTGTGTGTCACTGCAATAGCAAGTTTTTAATTGAATTTTTTACAAGACATCAATGATAATGCCAATACAAACAAATATAACTTTAACTACATATTTGTGTGTCATCGCAATAGTGGGTAAGTTTTTTAATTGAATTTTTACAGTAAATTACGATAGACATCAACGATAATGCCAATACAAATTAACATACTGTGTGTCACTTAGCTCGTAAGTTTTCCAATTGAAATTTTTTTTGAATTTTTTATAGTATTACGATAGACATTACGCCAAAAACTAACATAATTTTAACTACATACTGCGTGTCACCGCAATAGTTTGTAAGTTTTTAATTGAATTATTACGATAGACATCAACGATAATGCTAATACAAACTATCATAACTTTAATTACATATTGTATGTCACCACAATAGTGAGTAAGTTTTTTAATTGAGTTTTTACAGTAAATTACGATAGATATCAACGATAATGCCGATACAAACTAACATAACTTTAACTACATACTGTGTCGCTATAGCTAGTAAGTTTTTAATTGAATTTTTTACAGTAAATTACTATAGACATCAACAATAATGCCAATACAAACTACATAACTTTAACTACATACTATGTGTCACTATAGCTAGTAAGTTTTTAATTTGAACTTTTTACAGTAAATTACGATAGACATCAACAATAATGCCAATAACAGACTAACATAACTTTAACTACATAATGTGTGTTATCGCAATAGCTCGTAAGTTTTTTAAATGGATTTTTTTATGATAGACATCAATGATAATAATACTTGTTACATAACTTTGACTACATACTGTGTGTCACTATAGCTCGTAAGTTTTTTAATTGAATTTTTACAATAAATTACTACTGACATCAACGATAAATGCCAATACAAACTAAAATAACTTTAACCACATACTGTGTGTCACTATAGCTAGTAGTTTTTTAATTGAATTTTTTACAGTAAATTACTATAGACATCAATGATTATGCTAATACAAAATAACATAACGTACTGTGTGTCACTATAGCTAGTAAGTTTTTTAATTGAATTTTTTACAGTAAATTACGATAGACATCAACGATAATGGCAATGCAAACTAAAATAACTTTAACTACATACTGTATGTTATCGCAATAGCTCGTAAGTTTTAATTGAATTTTTTACAGTATATTATGATAGACATCAACGATAATGCAATACAAAATAACAACTTTAAATACATATTGTGTATCACCGCAATAGTCGGTACGTTTTTTAATTGACATCAACGATAATGCCAATACAACCTAAAATACGTAACTAACTACATACTGTGTGTCACCGCAATAGCGAGTAAGTTTTTTTACAGTAAATTACGATGGACGTCAATGATAATGCCAATACAAACTAACTACATATCGTGTGTCATCACAATAGTGGGTAAGTTTTTTATTGAATTTTTTATAGTAAATTACGATAGACATCAACGATAACTACATACTGTGTTACCGTAATAGCGAGTAAGTTTTTTAATTGAATTTTTCACAGTAAATTACGATAGACATCAACGATAATACCAATACAAACTAACATAATTTTAACTACATACTGCGTGTCACTATAGCCAGTAAGTTTTTTAATTGGATTTTTTACAGTAAATTACATCAACGATAATGGCAATACAAACTAAAAGAACTTTAACTACATACTGTGTTACGCAATAGCTTGTAAGTTTTAATTGAAAATTTTACAGTATATTATGATAAACATCAGCGATAATGCAATACAAATAACATAACTTTAACTACATACTGTGTATCACCGCAATAGTCGGTACGTTTTTTAATTGAATTTTCAACGATAATGCTAATACAACCTAAAATACGTAACTAACTACATACTATATGTCACCGCAATAGCGAGTAAGTTTTTTTACAGTAAATTACGATGGACGTCAATTATAATGCCAATACAAACTAACATAACTTTAACTACATATCGTGTGTAATCCAATGCCAATACATACTGTGTGTTACCGTAATAGCAAGTAAGTTTTTTAAATGATTTTTTACAGTAAATTACGATAGACATCAACGATAATACCAATGCAAACTAACATAACTTTAACTGCACACTGTGTGTCACTATAGCTAGTAAGTTTTTTAATTGAATTTTTTACAGTAAATTACATCACCGATAATGGCAATACAAACTAAAATAACTTTAACATACATATTGTGTGTTATCGCAATAGCTCGTAAGTTTTTAATAGTTTTTTTTATAGTATATTGTGATAGGTATCAACGATAATGACAATACAAATAACATAACTTTAACTACATACTGTGTCACTATAATAGTCAGTAAGTTTTTTATTTGAATTTTTACAGTAAATTATTAACATACTGTGTATCACCGCAATAGCGAGTAAGTTTTTTACGATAGACATCAATGATGATGCCAATACAAACTAACATAACTTTAACTACATACTGTGTGTCACCACAATAGCGAGTAAGTTTTTTTAAAATTTTTTTTTTTACATTAAATGATAATTCCAATAATTATAATAATAAATCACCTCTAATTAACTATATGTCAACCTATGATAGACGGTATGTATTGGTTATATTCAATTGTATGTAACTCTTAATACATTATTATATTTATTATTGTTCAACATTTAAGATTTAGAAAGGAATTTCATAATTGGACAAGTGGCAATGACTATATTGATGAATTTATTCAGCAAGCTCAACTTAATGCAAAGATGTTTAAAGACATT